GGACGTTTCATGCGTAACGAAATAGACTACGACGAGTTCATGAAGCTCACTGGTGGTCAAACACTAGAAGAAGAAATGGCAGCTGATGGAGGAGGTAAATTTTCCAGGTATTCACAGTGCTATTTGATGCTATTTCATTCGTATCATATGCAGGTGAGTCCATAGAAGATGAGGAGGATGAAGAATTTCCTAACTCCGATACTACGCAGGTATTGAAACTTTGATCGAATCTCTTTTACTGGTAGGATGCTGAGAAAATTTAGGAGTTTGCTGTCAAGAAAGAGTTTGTCTCAGAATATGGTGGTGACCTACCAGTGCACGTCAGGAATCTTATGCAAGAAGTATGCCTTTTTTATCTTTCTTCTCAACCTCTGGCACTGCTGCTTCTGTTTATGGTACTAAAAACCTAGGATTTTTTTTCTTGATGGAGGATTTCTAGATTGTTAACGACGAACTAGGAGGATGTCGCGCCGATGTCTTGTCGGCATCGGTTCCAACTGAGACAGATCAGCCATCAACATCGCAAGCAACACCGGTTGCAGAGCCAACACCAGAACGAGAACGAATACCTCGAAAACTGAGTAAAACTATGGACGCTCTACTTGGCCATGCGAATGTCATCTACGCGAAGGGAAACACTCAAGAGGCTCTTGCTGTTTTGCTGGAAGTTAGTTGTCATTTTGTCCAATATGATTTCTTTTCAGTCCTAGAAAGTTTGATTTTCGCATATTTCAACAATTGCAAGACAAAATGGCGTGTTCAGTCATTTTCGGGATGCGCCACGCCTTTGACTTTCATTCAGTTGTGGTGGCAAACAAATGACATTTAACATATTTACGCATTTCTGGGGCGTGGTGATGTGCGAGTCAATGTTTCTATCTTCACAGACAAGTCTGCCCAGCTTAGCAGAGGCGGAAGTTTTGGCACGATTGCTATAAATAATGTCAATTTGTAGGTAATTCGCCAAGAACCTCGCAATGCAGCATCGTATCGTCAAGTTTCGGACATATACCAAGAATTAGGAGATCCACAAAAGAGTTTACAGTGGGTTATTGATTTCTTGTTCCAAGCCCAACTTTGAAATGGTTCAGTTTTTCAACTTTGGCAGAAGATTTGTGACTAACTCAAACATTATTTATACAATACAATACTTATATCATTTACAGGTATGGTCTTCTTGCAGCGCATCTCGATTCTCGAACACCGGCTGAAGATTGGGCTCACTGGGGAGAGATGAGTCCAAAAAACTCGAACTCATCGAAGAAGCAGCTGCGTGCTACGGGAGAGGTGCGTCTTTTTTTAAACGAATTCTCATTATTGCATGGGTGATGAGGATCTTCTCTGGGTAATGAAGATCACATCTAGTGAATTAATGTCTTTTGCAGCCATCCGACTGAATCCTTCAAACTGGAAATACTATGAAAATCGTATTGAAATGCTTGATCTGTTGGGTATGTTTTTCTTCTGATGAAGTAATTGCGAAAATTAGATTGGCTGTTTCTTTTAGGGCTTCGACCGCTAGCGATGCGCACCCGCCTGCAAGCCGCTCAAATGATCGATCCTTCACAGGCTGGTGTTGACTTCGAGTGGTTCCACGAGTTGATCAAAACGGTTAGTGTTGGAGTTGCAAACTGTGGTACTGAAAATTTTGGATCAAGTCCGTGAGTACGCCGCGATTAAGTCTATTCGCAACTTTTCTTTTCCCACATAATTCATAATATTTCGCTGGTTTTCGGTTCCGTCTAAGTGAGTTGGGAGACCACGTGGCGGTGCGCCTTTGCTTGCCTAGCACTCTCTCGGGCGAAATAGTGTAGACTCAAAAAATCCAGCTTTTCACGCATATCACGTGACAGCCTTCAGCCCACCCCCTAGACTTCCTACACTCCCCCTGGCTCACTCGGATTTCTCGATGTACGCAAATGCCAGGCGAGCATAGTGCCGCGTCGCCGCATGATCCTCCCCCCCCCCCAACCCACTTAGCTCCATTCGTCCTTCTTCGTTTAACACAGTGAACCTTCTTTGTAAAGACCAAACTCTTTCAAGTAGAGCAAAATTTAGCTGCAACTCTTTGATTCTATATTCTTCTTGGGCTTGATTTCCTCCACGACTTTTCGTATCGAAACGTTGGTCTCAGGAGCCTCAGAACCTTTTTTTGCATGGGCCCCAAGAAACAGTTTGACACCTATAAAATACTTTTTAATTTCATTTTCAATACTTTTTTGTTGTTCAGGTTGCTCAATACTACATTGCTATAAATGATGAAGATCGAGCTATCCTTGGCGCTCGAAGCTTTCGTTCTTCGCAGTAAGAGTATTGGCCCAGATCAGCGGAAAACAAACACGAAACTCTGATAGGTGTGAAATTTCTGTCTTTTTCTGGGTGCCTTTGGATCCTTTTTCCGATTCTCTATAACTTTGGTTTTCAACTTGTTTCTTCACGAGTCTTTCCTTGCTCTTAAAGAATAATACAATTCCAGGAATGTGGATGGCTAAGAACAAGTTCCTCGAAGCAGCGAAATCCATTTTCGCGTTATGCGATGGAATTTTCGCCACGAGGAAACCAGACGGCGAACCCGCGTTGACGGTTCAATTTTACAGTGGTGCTTGTACGCCTCGTTCCTCACTCATTTTGAATTTACAGATCACCTTGTCGCATGGTACCTACTCCGTTGAGCCATTCCCTCCTGACAATGACGTAGACTTTCACGTTGAGCCCTCATTCTCTACGACCACTCTTTGCAGGCTGATCGTGTGTTTCATCGGCTTAGGCAAAAGAGAATTGGCCAAGGTGATTTTTGTTTTTTCAAACGGTTGTCAGATCGCTTATATTTGCCTGATATGATTTATGTTATTAATTTTTTTTTGATGGCTCGTATTCGGGCGGCTGTTTTTTTTTGGGTGGAGGGGGTTAAGGCCTTGTTTAATACTGTTTGAAAAGTGCCGATTGCCTTTGGTCAGGAAACAAACGCGCTAGGTCAGCATTTCACTCTACAACTCTGCTCTTTTGATGGGGGTCATGCTACTGTAACGATGACGTGAGGCTGCACACAGAAAGCAAGACTGCATCCAAACTGAGAAAAAACAATATTTGTCAATTCCAGCCCCTCAAAGCAATACTGCTTAGCCGAGATCTGTTAGCTCATGAGGATGAGCCACATGTGCTGGAAATCGCTCGAGCATACTACAATTGTGATGCCTTCAAGACGACAAAGGTTCGAGAGTTTTCTTCCTTTTCAAGTTTCAAACTTTAATTTTTTATCGCAGCTGTGACAAAGCAGCCTTAGGGAAAAAGTGCGCTATACGAAGTTATTACGTGTTCATGTGTTGATGTCAGATTGCCTGTATTAAGACATAAAAGTAGAGATGCGAGAGGAACCGCGAGTGCAAAAAATCCTTCGAGAACACTGAAATTGAGGACTCTTTTTGTAATGTTGGACACTGCCGCGACAGACCGGGCGAGAAAAGCGACAGTAGAGCACAAAGAAGGACAACACGCAGACGGTAGAACTTTGCAGCGTAGACTGTTGCATTGCAAGTGGCAGCCGGTTACCTATTTGCCGAATCTTTGCCTCTCTAGTCGCAGACTTTGAAGCCTTAGAAATTCTCCATTTGCTGCTTTTGTGAACAGGTTTTTTGGGGTACAACTTGATTATTTGACTTCTGTGCGTTTTACGACGTGGTAGACCCTTTTTTAGCGTTCAGCGGAGTTTCTGAGCATTATCGAAACTATTTTCAGCTGTTCTTCGGAGACTTTGCAAGAATGGAATAACTACTGCGACAACCCGGAAATGTGGTTCATTTATGGAAAACATGCTTTGCGGGTGCGGATTCATCATTGTCCCTTTTTTTCACCTACGTTTTATTTTTTTTTGCAAATCTTTTCTGCTAAAGCACTTAATTCTTTACCTTCGTACAGGCGCTCAAAGACGTCACAACGGCTATGGAATCCTTTGAAAAAGTTTTACAACTGAATCCTGGACATGTGGACGCTCGTATCAATCTATCAGGATTGCAGCAGAAGATGGGTCAGTCGGATAGAGCGCTTGAGACGCTTCAGGACTACGATTTGGACACCTGCACACATTTACCGGTTGGAAAATTTGTTATCTTTGTCAAGAAATGCAAGAAATTGTGAGGAGATTCTCCGATGTGCTTTATTATTTTCCAATGTGGGTTTCATTTAGGACGAGCGATTACTTATTAGACAAGCGGACGTCCTGTTCGATTCTCAAAAAACCGAACAATTTATTCGATGTTGTCGGATGCTTCTTACGCCACATTTTTACGAAGTCCATAGAAATCAGGACAGTATAGGAAAAAGGCCGAAAGCCCTCCAAGACTGGTTAGTTTTTGTCCTTTACTATCTACGTACTATCTATGGGTTGAGAATCTTGATTTTATGAGCAGAGCATTTTGTTGTATGATTTCTTCGAAAATTTAGACATTTCCCCATGGTCGACGATGTGTGTGTAATTTTCTGGGTACGGAATGAACGTAAGGTTGCTAAGTAGACGAGTAGTGCAGGGAAAAGAAAATGAAAAACGCTAGGATATAAAGCTTTCTTCTTTTCGCAATTTACCTGGCTAAGGTAGTGACTGAGGAGAAAGGAGAGGGGATAAGTGAAAGAGAAAACAGACGGGAGGATGCGAACACTCGCATATCCCGAATGAGAAAAATAGAAGAGGTCGCAACGTTTGCGGGAATCCTAGGCCCTTTTTGCTCTGAGAGGACGGTTGTCAGGAAACTCGCTGAAATCGAATTCGCTACTAGGATCGCTGAATTCGCAAAGACTGACACTGGCTAGAACAGGACACCTCCGACAAGAGGTGTTATGGCGGACAACTACAATCCACTCATCGAATGATTGAACCATCTTGAACCCATCTTGAGCTGCGGCTTTAGTCAAAAAGCAAGAATTATTACATACTTTGGATCTATTGTGGGCCTTATTACTGAACTTAACTCTGCGAGGACGAGGCTTTTCTGTCGCCTTTACTTCAGGATTGCTCATACACTTACTTTCTTTCTACCGAACAAATTGGGTGTTACAAATCACTGTGGAGGTTTACAGACTGACTCAAGCTCTCTATACCGAATTCCATACTATTACTTCATGTTCACGCTTAAGGTTTCTTCTTGAGCAATACTTTGCGGGTTGCTGCGATTAATGCGATCACTAATACGAATTGGGAGAAGTTCGTCCGTCGACTAGGTTCTGCGGCAGCCAAACGAGCGGCGAAGTGTGGATGAACTTGATCCAGCTCTGGTAAGCAATTTTTTCATATGAGCAACAGCTGCCACATTTAGAGTCGGTGGAAAGAGGCCACAAAATTTTCTTCGACAAGCTACTGTGGATGATTTCTATAGGTCCCTGTTCAGCTGCACGACTACTGTTTGAAACTGATCGAATGTCTCTTGGCTAAGAATCGCTACCAGGTGAGCCCATTGAATTCGTTAAATATTCGATTTCATATAATTCTGTTTGTTCAGGATATGTTAATCGTTTGTTGCTACGCGTTTTTACAAACCCCGGATCACTCGGTCGGAGAAGTCAGTTTGATTTTTCATGTGCGCGATCTTTGCTGTTTCATAGAATGAAACACACGATCTCTCTGAAATTTGATTTCAGCTGGAATACATGTTCTGATGTGATTTAGGTCCTCAACCTTCCAGAATCTGCTGTACTTCTGCGCGATAAAAGCTCATTGCTGGCCGGTTGCCTTCGAGTACGTACGATTGGTTACCACACACTGACCAACGTTCGTTATTTTGCAGCACTATTGTCTGTTTTTTAATTGATCTTACGATAGTCGAATTAGCCCTGTTGTTCTCCAGACAGCACATCAACTGACGCTCCCGAACTCTCGAGAAGTGCTGTACAAACGAATATTCAATGCTATGAACTACGTCTTTGTACACTCGCAGAATGTCTCCTTATCATCGGCGGTTAGCGTTGGATTACGGCTCTTCTCAAAGGTACGTAGTGATAGAAACTGTTAACAGCTGAAGGACTTCCTGGAACACTCGAAGATTTTGTTCTGGTCGTGTGTGGCGTTTTGCTGTATTGGGATTTATGTTTATAACTTCTGCTATACTCGATCTTTAGTATAAAACTAGGCTTGTTCTTGAAACGTGCGGTTATTGTTGAAAATGATTAGATTTAAATAAATACTTAATAGCTACTCGTGTTTTCCAGTCTCCCGGGAACCATGCACTTCAAGCCATTTCCGGGAACAACTCCTTAATTACGGGTCATATCGTCACGCTCTTGGGTATGAAATTAGCCTTCCTTTCATTCTTCAATGAAATTGCATATTGATAAAGGAATTACTTCAGGTGAGTATTTGCGTGTTTGGAATGACAATAAGAAGAATCCGATGATTTGCCTACTTCTCGCCTTGACCTTTACCCATATGGCATGTAAGAAAGATATAAGTAGCAGACACATGATCGCCGTGAGAGTGAGTCGCTGAACTTGTTTTCTACCAGTTCCTTGATTTTTTTGTAGTTTTTTTTTCTTTATTCGGAGAATATCGCCCTTAATTCTTCACATTTCAGCATTTATTATATGCTATGTATCGTAAAACTGAGCGAAAATGGAAAAATCCGACCTAACTTCATGCAATGCAAACCTTTTGATGTTGATTGGTCTCCCTCTGGATTGCGTCACGCATTCTTCTGTGTTTATATGTCTTCTGTATTCTTATGCTTCCTTTTATAACGGGGGTAGCATTAGAGTTCAATTTAGAAGATATGATGAAAAAGCTGTAGTACCAGCCGGTGTAAAAGGACGGTTTCACTCTGCCAGATATCTGATACCAAATAACCGTCCCCGGAAGAGAAGGATTCTCTACCATAAACTTCCCTGGGAAGATTTGCTCCAGCGTTTATTCCTCAATCGTACTGTGTGAGCCACATTTTCTGCCTTAGCTAGAAGCTATAGCTTGGAAGTTTTGGAAGAATTGGAGAAAACGATCCCTTTTTCCAAGTGTTCTGGTTTTCTATAGATCATGATGCAGTTTCGCATGACTCTTTAGAAGAACCCGTCTTGCTGCTATTATCGCAATTGTATATAGAAAGAAATAGATGAAGGTGATCAGAATCGCTGGACAGAACATTTGAATTTAGGGTATTGCATTCATGAAGAGTTACGAGAAAAACCGAGCATGTCGTCAGGAGTGCTACTACAATATTGGACGAATGTTTCATCAGTTGTCTTTAACTCCGTTAGCCATTCACTTCTACAATAAGGTGAGCTTGTTCTGTTCAAGGTTGTTGTTAGAACAAATGGCTCATAGCCACAAAAGCTGTAGCCATTGCAAGGTCGTCAATGTGCAAGCAATAGAAATTTAAGAAAATCTTCTTGTAAGACATCGTTTCACCTATTGTTCTTCAAGTCCCTTCAAGTTTAAGTGAGATTGGAATTACCAGTCCCATTCGGCCAACACTGGCGTAAGTAAAGGGCACATCCTGGTTAATCACTTCTTTTGAGGGTGTGCCACGCATTCTATTTCCATAATAAATCCTCCGGCGGTTTGGATGCGATTCGACCAGCGCAGTAGTTTGCGGTAGTCAGCCGATGTATGAATGCGTGTTTTCTCTTAACTAGACAAGTTTGGTGTCAATTACTCGACCTTGGGGGACGAAAAGCTTGGTTAGTTTGGATGGCGTACGACCCCAGATTTGGTCCACGATTCGTGCGCGTGGTTAGCAGCACCACTTGCCACTACACCGCTTCCGCTTGACATAGCCGTTGTAAAATAACTTGTAGCTCTATCGCGACGTCCATGAGTGTCTGGTCGCAGCTGATCGAATGTTTCGATTTATTTTCTTTTTAAGGTCCTCTCCGAGCCACCTCCTCGAGTTTTTTACACAGACGATGAAGGCAATGAAGTTGAAAGACCAAGTGATATGTGAGTTTATTCTTAAAACCATTCTTTATGTGGAACTCTATCCGGATTGAGCACACTGTACTTTCTTCTGCTGTTGATTGGTAAAGAGGAATTCTGCTAAAAAGACGAAATCGTAAATGTTTCGCGTAAACCCGAGGAAGAAAGGCGTAAGAAATAGCCCTGCTATATATAAAGCGCTACGTCTGTCTGTCTTTCACACAATTTTACTACCTGAAGAATTATCTGAAAGATTGATACAAGTTTGGAGCAAGAAGGGCATGGGCCTGGAGTAGGCATACCTATGACCGAAATTTCAAGCTTGATTCCAGAATAGCCTAGAGACCAGGAAGAATGGGCTGGAGTTGCATTGAAGTGCCAAGCCGAACTAGTGGGATCCATCTGCATGCTTCAAGTGCTTAAAAAGGGTATGCATAAAGAAGAACTCATGACAGGTCTAGGAGGAAGCCCCAAGAATTATCAAAAAAAAGCAGGAAGAAGTGGATAGTGGTTGGCGAAAGAAGTGAGGTCAACTGCTATTGGTCTGCTATTGGTGTGCAAGACGAGCACTGAGGCAGGCGGAATTGCCCCGAAACTTCCGT